AATCGACACTTTTATACACAAATAAAATAAATTCAAAATTATTATTAAAATACTGGCGGTCGTTGAACTGTAGTGAAATTTTCAAAAATGAAATACAGTTTTAATTTAATGTCAAAATCACTTGATCGCTACAAATTAATACAGAATTTTAAAAGCTTTAAAAGTTGAAAAAATTTAAAAATGTTAAAAAAATGAGAAGAGAATCCGAAATGTTGAGATAAAATCTGTAGCAACAATAAGGACGTGTAAATAGTGTAAATAATGATAATTCCTCATCACAGAAATTTGGACATAAATTAATTCTTAAATGTGTAAGTGTTCATAAAGCAGCAATTAGCAAATACTTCCTTTCAATGTGTAAATGAGGAAAAGAAGTTCGAATGTGTTTTTTGATAGAGAATATCCTTCCATTTTCACAAAGTAAACTTGGTTTTACATAATTAAAGAAAGGAATCTATATGAAAATACTTCAGTATTCCAATAAAAATCTAAGTGAATTTTAAGCATTTTATTCTTGTTTTTATTCTAAACATAATTTTTTAACCGTAATCATTCGTAAACTTTGATTAAAAATCAAATATTGTTGCTCTCTGACCTCTTTTTTTTACAGTAAGGTTCATCCTGTACAAAGCTCAGGGGCCACTCGAGATAGAGGGTTACATGAAGAGGAAGTTTATACAGATAGGAGAGGATTAACATTTGTAGTGAACGGGTAATCATCCTCTTAGGAGTGTTTTTTCCACAGTACCGTGGGTTTTCGGGAAGAAGCTATTCGAGTGGAACTTACTTCTCACCAATATAATACAGACGGAATGAGGGCGGTTTGCTACAGTGTAAGTGGCATAGCGAGTTCTTGCCGTGACAAACCTGGCGGAACCAAGGTATATAGTTCTTCTGAACACTTTCCGTGAAGTAGCGTTAGAGCAGCGAGAGGCTTGCCAAATCCCACGTATGAAAGACAAATTAGAGGGTGGAAAATAATTCGTCACCCACAAGGATCGGAGATGCTTTGAATACTATCAAGGCTGGAAAAAGCGGTCTGAGCTGCTCCTGTCTTATTCCACTAAATATCAAATCTTATAAAAAATATGAAAAACTATTAGGGGCGGGGTACAAATTAAGCAAAAATTAACAGAAAACAAATGTAAAAAAGTATTTTTCATTTGCTAAAAGAAAAATTAAATAATAGTAAACTGGAAAACAATTATAACAAATAATGATGTTTTTGTTTTTTTTTTTTTTGTTTTTGGTAGGCTGTTTTTTTCTTCTGATATTCTACAGAGAAACGTCTCTATTTTTTGGTTGTCATTTATTTATTAGGAAGAATTTAGGGATAAATCAGTGGAAAAACACAAAAGCAATTATTGACTGGTTCCGCAGCATAAATAACAAAGAAAATTGCTAATTCCTACAATTAGACATAAAAGAATTTTACCCATCCATAACAGAACCCATGCTAGATAAGGCCATTAACTTAGCTCAAGAACAAGTACTAATAAAACCAAACGAAATCGACATAATTAAACACTCCCATAAATCATTACTATTTCACAATGAAGAAGCATGGATAAAGAAAGATTGGATATTTGACACTACAATGGGAAGCTTTGACGGTGCGTAGGAGGAAATCATAGGTATTTACTTACTACACGAACTAAGCAAAATAATAGGTAGAATTGACACAGGACTTTACAGGAACGACGGTTTCATAATCTTAAGAAACTGTAACAAACAAAACACAGACAAAACTAGAAAAGCAATAAATAACATTTTCAAAAGTAACGGATTCTACATAGATATAAAAACTAACCTAAACGAAGTAGATTTTCTAGATGTTACCTTCTACCTAAGAAAAGGCACATATAAACCACACAGAAAACCCAATGATAAACCAATTTATATACACACATCTTCCAATCACCCGCCTTCTATAATCAAACAGATACCATAATCGCTTAAGCGCAGACTTTCCGCCAATTCCTCCAATGAATTCACATTTAACAAAGCTAAAAAAGACTATGAAACAGCCCTAAAAGATAGTGGATTCCCAGCAACAGTCACATAATAACCACAGAACACAAAAATGGCCAACAGGAAAAGAAATACCATATGGTTCAACCCACCGTACAGCAAAAACGTAAAAACAAACGTAGGAAAAATATTCTCCAAACTCTTACATAAACACTTCCCGGAATCAAGCACCCTACACAAAATATTCAACAAAAACGCAGTAAAAATCAGCTACAGTTTCACTGAGAACATGGCACAAATAATAAAAAAGCAAAACAGGAAAAATATCAACAAATCAAACGAAAAAATTAGGCCCACGTATAACTGCGGAATAAAGGACGAATGTCCCTTAAACGATAATTGCTTACAAAACAACGTAATATACCAAGCCACGATAAAATCACCAGATAATGAAGAAAAAGTATACATAGGAGTAACTGAAGGACCCTGGAAACAAAGAAATTATGCACACAAAACATCTTTCACAAATCGTAAATACGCGAACAGCACAATGCTTTCTAAGTATATCTGGGAAATTAAAGACAAAACGCACATCACACTAAAAATATCTTGGAAAATAAGGAAAAGTTCATCAGCCTACAACCATTCTAAAACTTGTAAACTTTTCTTGGAAGAAAAAATAGCTATCATTACCTTCCCAGACCAAAATAAATTATTAAATAAACGACCCGAGTTCATTTCAAAATGCAGACATGAAAACAATTTTTTACTACGTTACTTAAAAATCGAAAGCTGAGAAAAAAATAAAATAAAAAATGAAATAAAATAACAATTTAAATAAGTAAAATAAATTAACCCAAACAAATTACCAAATCACACCTGTTAGAATAGGTGAAATAGAATAAATAAATAAAAAAATAATAAACAAAATCAATGAACCTAAATAAATAAAGAAAATAATAAACAAATTAACAAGCCAATATGTCCAAAATATTAGACTGTAAAAATCAAACCAAAAATTAGACGAAAAACATAGCTGTAACTGTTATGTAACGATAAAAATATACTACGTTACTTAAAAATCGAAAACCGAAAAGAGTAAATAAAAATATGTAGTATAATAAATAAATAATAAAAAAACAAGTAAAATAAATTAATCTAAATGAATCCAAATAAATAAACTAAAAAATCGCTCCCGATAAATTAACCGTTAGAAAAAAACTAGTAAAAATAATCAAACCAAATAAATAAATGAAGTAATAAACAAATTAAAAACTGGTCCAGCCAAAATAATAGTTAGAATAAACTACAGCAATCAACCCCAAACTTGAATAAATAGGTTTAAATTATCTTCCCAAACCAAAACAAAACTATTAAATAAGCGATATAAACAAATTTTTACTACGTTAATAAAACACCGATTAATATATATATATATATATGAAATAAAAATTAAAAATAAAAATAAAAATAAAAACAACCAAAATAAATTAATCCAAATAAATAAACAAATATACGGCTTCCGGCAAAATAACCGCAAATATAGACTACCCACAATTCACCACTGACCCGTATATATAAATAGCCGAGAAAAATAAAAATAAACAACACAGTGCCCTGACGATTGCGTCTTGCATGAAACAGTCTGTCGCCTCTAAGTGTTGACTTCAATGTTCACTTTTATATTTACACACGCTCTATCTCTGATATTGAGCACAATCCCATAAATATAGCACACCTTAAGACTATATTTTTCTTATATATATATATATATATATATATATATATATATATATATATATATATATATATATATATATATTCATTATTTAGAAATTTATTAAACCATAGACATGAGTTTACGGTTTTTGCGGACATCAAATTTTCGCATTAAATAATTACCATAAAAAAATTAAATTTCATAGTCTAATAAAGGGTTTAAAAGCTTAACCCAATCATAATATAGAAAAACCCTTTATGAAGTCGTCAAAAAAACAAATTGTAGTTCAGTGCGACGCGTTTATGTACGAAACAGCCCGTTAGGGAAAACAAAAAAAATAGATAAATAAATAAAATAAAATTCTTTAGACACTTAACGACGTATTATGGTGCGAACAACTATCTTTTGCTGTGACTGACCAGACGATGTGTGTACATGAATGCCGTCATTCACTGTGAAATGGACACCCCGGCCCTAGCTGGGCTTGACCTCTTTCCGAAGATGACTGATATGGGGAAACAAATTAACTCTTAGGGCCCTTATCAAAATGGCCGCCCCAGCCGTTTCCATAATAATTAATTTTGCGAATGAACATTCTTATAAAGATGCGTAAATTTCAAGATTGGTTATTCCTAAATTTTTGCTTGAGGATGAAACAGGGCTTGATACTTTAATTCAATTTAATTTTAATAATTATATTTAGGTTTTCGGCTCTTGGTTTTGAAACATGAGAACTCTTATGTAGCGAAGGAATCATATTTTTTAAAATAATTATAATATATATATATATATATATATATATATATATATATATATATGCATGCATACATATATATATATATATATATATATATATATATATATATATATATATATATATATATATATATATATATATATATGTATGCATGCAGCATATGTTCGTTTAATAGGTTTAGATAAATTTTGCCTATTATGTCTTAAAATATTTCTCATTCAAAGTTTATATCAGTTGATTTAATATTTCAAACTTTCCACTAAGTTCAGTCAGTCACAAATCAAATTCCATTTTTTCTGATACTTTTTTTTATTATCAAAAATCAATTATAATTATTTATTATCAGAATTTCTATTTAAAAACCTTTACGGTTATTTTTTTAATCTTCTTCCTTATTTGAAAAATGAATAGCTTTTGCTCTTAAAACCTTTTAATAAATGGTATTTTTATAACAATAGCTTTAAAATATTCTATAATTTAAATGAAATAATTGTTTTTTAATATTTTTAGTACCATTTTTCTTTAAGACAAAATTTTCTTTTAGCGTTGCTATTAGCGTTTTGATAATTTAACCTTTACTCCGTACTTTGGTCTCAACACAAGGTTCATTTCCGGGTGAATGTCTGCTTCTACCTGAGTTGTCTCCACTCGAAATTTTCGGAATATCCAAGTCAACAAAATCTTCTCTTCGACCATGGCAAACTTCTGACCTAAAAATGATTTTAAAAAATTCTTTTTAAATATAGTTTGGTTGTATGATATGCTAACATTAATCTGAAAATATTTTTGATTACTGGCTTCTATTCATTTTAACATTTCAAATACTTATCTCGCAGCTCATATTCCATTCAAGATAGCATACAGGGTGAAAAGTAACATAAGTAGACACTATTATCGCTATTACCCTTGACACAACACTTAATCTAGTTACAGTTCACATCATAAGCACGATATGATAATTTGTCTGGGGTGCTCAGTTATTGCTCACTCTGTTTCCACTGAATCTAAATTTATAATACCCTGTCCAGTGATTGAACTTACAGTTATATGTCACCACTTTCACGAACAAACACTTTAATTTACTAGGTTTTTCCTGCTATAGAACTTGAAGCCTTAAATCTAATCTGCTTGCTACTGTTGTCATGCATACACCATTTCTTTAATTGCTGCTGCTGTTGAAGCCTTGCTGTTATTTTTTTATTAGTGGCTCCTATATTGTATTTGTTACTATATTAGGATTCTTAGGAGATTCCTTATAGCGTAAAAAACATAAATCCATAGGTATTGACAGAAGAACAATAATCTTCCGTATATTTCAATACGAAATCTCTCAAGGATAACTTTATTGACAAACACTCGTGATGCCCAGAAGGCACAACTACCGACAGATTGTGATAATATCAACAAAAATGAGCAAAATAGACGGAGTGTAAATAATATTAAGCAGGAGATATGATCATTTATAAATATTCAATAAATAAACATTTCAATTTCTAATGAACAATCTGATAAGTTTTCTTCCATTCACTAATCTATGTATATTCACTGAGTAATAATATAAAAAAAATATGTTCACTTACCGATACAGTTCCTTCGACCAGCAGAGAAAGGTATGAATGCATAAGGATGTCTTTCTTTTATATTTTCGGGTAGGAATCGATCTGGGTTGTAAACCAGTGGTTCAGGAAAATATTGCGGGTCTTTGTGTAGACCACCAATGAACAAAGTTACCCTGTATTTTGCAGGAATTTTGTAACCATCTTAAAAGGAAAAGTACAAATGCAAAAGCTAGATTAAAATGTCTTCGTTTATTTCAATGAATTCATTGTGAATAAACTTGATAACTATTCCGATTTTTTTAAAATTTTGTATGAATGAAGAAAATTCGTGCCAAAAGTTAAATGGCGCGAAACAATCAGAATATAATTAGAAGCTGCTCACTTGATGCACAGCTGAAATCTTCACATCACAAAATGAAGTTTGTAAATAAATATATTTTTTATCGTGAAACTTACAAAATCGTACAGTAATAGAAAAGATCACTTACAACTTTTTATTATTATTTTCATGGCAATATTTTTCATAATAATTCATTTTTGTAACAACTCGGGCTGTTTCTATAGTCGTTATTAAACATTGTAGCTCAGCGAGACACGAACTCACCTTGCTATTTTCTTAGGATGTCAGTCTTGGCATAACACCAACACTACGGAAACCAACGGATAGAGAAGCTTAAATCCAACCACATTGCTTTCTTCCTCATTTCCCTCAAGCGCTCAGAGCTGCCATTTTTTTCACTCGTGGGGATATTTATTTGGATGTTTCTATTAGACGAATTATGGTCAATTATTATCAATTTTGTGTCTAATATTTTTTTCATCTTAATTTCGGTTGTCTTAACACAAGTAATCGCTAATCCAATGTTTACTATTAATACTAAAAATGTATTTTTATCACCTTCCACTTATGAGACCATTTCTAAGTAAAAGAGAAGATACGTTTTTGTTCAACAAACTAGCCTCACGATCACGAGTTTCTTAACCCATTAGGGTCGTAGGGGCACCACACGTACAGCTGGCGTAATAGCAGTTGTGTTTCCTGGGCAAGATAGTCTGATGAATTCTAAACCTCTCCAAGTTGTTTTGAATTCAGTTTTTCTTCTCCTAGACTTGTCGCCAAACGAGGCTATAGGTCCAGTCAGTCCTGCTATTTCGCCATAGATGAGCGGAGAATGGATGGATTCATAACTTCTCCAAGGGTATTAATACATAAGGGAATGCAATGAACTCGACTGGAATTCGAACTCAGCTCCCCAATTTCTCTACCCAACCCACTATCGATTACTCCACCGTGCCTCCCAAACTAGCTTCGATCATTGAAAACATATGAAATAGAAATTTCGGTTTTTCTTACCAATATCAAGTTCCTCCGTTGTTTTCCTTCCAATAATTGACACTGACGGGTACAGTCTCAACGTCTCCTGGAAAAAAAAAGCAATTATGTACATGCAAAGAATTGAGGAATTAAATCTTATCCCCATTTTCCATCAGTTGCCACTTGCCAATTTTCTTAGCGATTATGATACTCTTGTTGTTAAATAGTACAAATTCAATATTGCAACCATCGAGAAAAGTGTGTTCCAATCCACGGGAATAAAATTGTGAATTTCCTATAAAAATAAATATACATGTACATTCAATAACATCCATATTTAAAACATAAAATTTATGCTGCAATAAGTGAATTAATCAAGATAAACTTTTGAACAAAACCGTAAAAACTTTTATTATACAAATCATAACTGGTCAATCATACAGACGAAGATGGTATTGTATGAATGAACAATTATTAATGAACACTTAGAGAAAGACATGAAATTGTGTTTTGGGATAATGACAATTGTGGAACAGAATTCTCATTTGCAATACAGACTTCATTGTAGACGGAAAAAGAATAAGATATGTTTTATAGCACACTAGTTAAAGTAATTAATCGGTGCAACTCTCAAGAAAGTATCAACATCAAGACGGAAGACCTAAATACAAAACTAGGAATGAAACGAGGCAGTAAAACAGTAGATACATATGAAATTGAATCACGCAACGAAAATGCTTGTGGAGATGGAAAGAACTGAAGAACCAGATAAACAATCAGACACAAAATGCTGGATGATAGAGTACATTCTAGTAACTATGGAAGAGGGACAGCCCACGCCATCAATGAATAACACAGAATAGAGAATATTAAAGAAAAATACTATATAAATATATAAATATAAAATATTATATGCCTTTGCTCACAAAAAAGAGATGAAATACTCAAAGATAAGTGTACAGAGTTAGAAGAACTATGGAACATAGGCATAGCAGGAATACATAAAATGATAAAAGAAATAACAGGACCAATGATGTGCTCCTGGACAGAGCATTATAATCTCAAAGGAGATCGTTCAAAGGTGGAACGATAACATCGGAGAATTCTTCCATAGAATAGAAATCAAAAATACATAAAAACATGCAAGGACATGCATTATGAAAATCTTAGGTAAGATCGGTACTGGTTACACTGAATAAAAAAAAAGCATAACCAAATGGAATTGTAAATAGAGATGTTGTTGGCTTTAGATAATTTCTGAATCGACAAAATAATAAACGAAAATAATAAATATGAATAATAAACAAAATATACGACAGTGGCGAAATAACTGAAAACCTCAGTAGATCCATCTTCATAATGATACCAAATCTAAGTACAAATAAATGTGAGCACATTTGGAAAATAAGGTTAGTAAGTCACATGATAAATGATACGCTCAATAATTAGCATTCTTTGTAGCTCATAGTAGAATTAGACTGAATATAGGACATGAACTGTCTGACACTGAAACAAGAAAAGCTATATTCATGATCAGAGCATGCAATCGGAGCAGGCAATCTAAATATACAAAGACTATGTTTCATAGATTGTACAAATGCGTTTGATAAGTTACGATAAAGAAACTATTTGAATTATCACTTATATATAGTCATATGAAAGAGAGATAGCCAAAGGTACGAGCATCGAACTGGAGACATGAGAATCATGTAGGCACAGAAATCTAACTATCTGGAAAGTGTAGTAACTGATGTGACCCAGAATTTTGAAGGCTCATCAGAATAACGAAAAATGCCTTACATAAAATAAATAAAGGATTAAGTAGCAGGAAGCATTCGTAAATAACAACAAATGCTGGACTGTTACGAAGCAGATGAAGCAGAAATTCAAATTCAACAAAAGAATACTAAGAATATCATGACCTGAACATGTGAACAGCGTTGAAATTCTACGAAAAATATGAACTAAAACGACACATACTTAAAAGCAGAAAAAACAGTTGACATTTCTGTGACGCATTTTGAGGAAAAAAGACTTGGAAAATTCAACACTTACAGAAAATATTGAACGCTTGGAGGGAAACAGCGATTAGCCTACCTAATGAATTCGTGTGAATGGATTGCAGTGCGGGGCATAGACAGATGGTAAAGTTTCAAACGTTATTTAGACCAACAACAGACAAGTTGTGGCTAGACATGTTCGCTCAAGTCCTGAAGAAACATGACGTATAATCACAGAACACTCTATCAATGAATAAAAACTAAGAATGATAGAAAAAACTGCAGAATTGCTGCAAATTAAAAAGGCTTTACTGGCGATTTTCGATAATTTTAATACTTTCCTTCCCAGACCGATATTCAGTGTCCTGGTTAAATTGTCTAATGATACGATATTCATAAACTCTTCTCAACTCAAAAAAAGAATGTCAGAAACATTTTCTTACTTTCAAAGCCATTTCCATGTAATCTAATTTCTTCAGATCTTCGAGCATAGCTGGTCTGTTTGAATCACCTTAAAAGAAATATTTTGAATTGCTTGAATCTCTTAATTTGTTTAAAATTGTAATTATCAGATATAAAATAAACTTCGATTATTGTTCGCAGTATTAACCGTTCGAATATTTACCACAGAAAGCCTCAATTTATCTCCGGTTTACTCCTACCAGTATTTGAGGCGGTTTTGTTTTCAAATGTAAAAAGTATTTTTCAACAACATTGAATATAATATAAATAAACTGTTTTTATGGTTCCACAATAAACCGATAGAATATTTATTGCTTTACAACTAAAAATATTGTTCGAACAAAAAACTGGAAAATTTATGTAGAACTAACGTTTTCAATGAAAATATAGATGTAGTGAACATAAAAAAATGAGAAAAAATTGTATGAAAAAATATATATTAAAATAATGTAATAATCACATATTAAAAGATAATTATACAAAAATACTAGTAGCAGTCGCAGAACCGAACTTCCCGAATCACTGCGACTACTATCGCGTCATACGAAAACAAGTCCAAGATTAAGCTCTATACTCAAACTATCACATAGAAATAACTACATATTATGTATTGTCGTCATCGTCGTAGTAGTAGTGCTTATTTGAAAGATCTTTTTAATTTATTAAATGTTTTCAAACATTACTAATTTATGAATTTTTTTCACAAAATAATATTAAAATAAACAAATACTTACATGACTATTGATTTTTGCATATAAGCAGATATCATTATTTAATAAAGAACTTTTCAAAAACTGCTTCCATCTTTGATAAATGATAAGCTTTTTGATGACGCCTACAGGTCATACCCTCAAATATTTACATAAAGATTTAATTTTATATATCAAAATACGTTATTAATCGATAAAGAATATTTTAATCAACTTTTCTGATACATCAAAATAAAATTGTTTACCAAAGACATCATCGATTTCCTGGTTAACTTTTCTGTAGACTTCAGGATGAGAAACAATCATGTAAATCGCCCACGTCATGCCAACTGATACTGTGTCATGTCCCTGCGTTTGAATAAAAGACAAAACGCTGACCTGTTTTCAAATTAGACGGCAATTGTTCATCATACACGAATTGGATTTCTTTATTATAATTTAATTTCTACACTATAAAATGTCATATTTCATTTTACGTTACGTCAATAAAGACTTTTTCATTGTTTCGTAATTTAATATTTTTACTTAATGAAAATGCGTCGATTTAAAAAAAATGTTTTCCTCACATAAACATATGACTCCTGATTGGTTTTAATCTTTTACAAATTATTATGTAAAGTTAATACTGACCTATTTTCAAGAAAGGAAATATGTTATTTCGAGTTTTATTTAAAAGTTTAAATCTTACACGAACAATCATTTATAATGTTGTTTTTTTTCTCGTGAATTTTAGTTTATTTCAGTGATTTTGTTAGATTCTTCTCTAATTTTTACCGCAAACATGAATGTATCAACTTCCTCCTGGATTTCTTCTGTCGTCAATTCACCTCGATGCCAGTGGTAAAGCAACAAATCCAAAAATGCGCGTCTTTTTTTCTTGATATAAACATTTGATTCGTCAGCATCGCCTACTTCGTCTTCCATCATTTTTGCCTCGTTTTCATTATATTCTTTTTGGCGGGTTTCAATAACCTAAAGAAATAAAATAAATAATGAGTGAAATGAATATCAATTCCATATCAATTGCTTTTTATTCATGAACATCTTCGTCAGTTGAATATGTCACAATTGCCAGAAGGAATGATAGACTTTATTAAAATGCAAAAACATTTTCAACTTAAAGATAAAGAAATAAAAGTATAAATGTATAAAATAGTGAAAAGGAAAGTTAGATAGAAATTTTTTATATAAGCAAATGCTTTAAATTGCAATTTTATATTGGATCAATATTTGACACACTGTATTCGAGAGAATCACTTTTTATGCTAAAAATCATTTTGCTCTAAACGTTTTTGCACATAATCCTACTCAATAAATAGATAATTTATAATGCATCTAAAATAGTCGGAATATCTTGAAACATGATCGCTAAAGATTTTTCTTGTATTTCAAATTGAAAGATCAAAAATCAAATTTCTGTCTATCCCTCGTTTCGAACAAAGAAATATACTTCTTGTAAATCGTTGCATAATTATATTGACTTGTTTAATTGACAATTCATCATGATATTGTGAATGGTACATTGTTAGAATCAGAGTCTATATTCATTAGCATTCTTAGAATAATTATCAGGATGATTTCTATTGATGTTCAATCAACACTTACATTCTTTGTAAAACCTTGAACGATTTTGAGGTACTTGTCAAATTTACGACCATCTCCGAAAAGGTAGAAGAGTAAATTCGGCCACATCCATGGGGATTTAAAGCGTTTCACTATCATCTCACAAACTCTAAAATAAAAAAAATATGATTATCGATAATAACTCTGTCGAGAAGCAACAGGAAAATTTGTTCCTAAAGTAAAAGAAATCATTTTAGATTAGAATTAAAATTTGTTTTAAATTTTGTCTCAGTTCATTAAGAAAGCACAACTGTTTCGTCATTAAAATGAATAAATGTCCTATTTTTACATATTTTAAAAATATTGACTAAACGATTATTATGATTTTTATATAAATCAACAAATTTTAAATTTAGCTTTGAACCTGTCACACAGATCATGCCTTTCAATAATTCAGTTTAAATTGCCTTCTTATATTTTTTTTTAATATTATAGAGCCATGGAACACTAATTAGTTCAATAGGTTCTAGGATTATCGCTAAGTAGTTTCTTCATCATTGAAAGATTATGAACTCTACATCGTGTGGCTTATTCCATATTATCATTTTTATCCATTTGTTAGATTTTAAAGGATAACAGTACCAGTGGTTTACTTTATCGAATGAAATATCGTATGAAATATCTTGTAAAATACTTTGTTAATAAATTTATATAATTTATCAAATGAGACCACATTGTATAAAAGTATCAACAACGACCTTATCAATTTTGATTGTTTCGGTAGTTTCAAACAACATTAATATGTTTAAATACAAAAAATATGTACAATAGTTTATTAACATAACTCTCTGATATTAATATGAGAATAAATATTAATGAAAAATAAAAATATGTTCGACTCGTTTATCCTGTTTGCGTAGATTTGAAGTCATAATTATGATTTATATTCATGGCTTTTGTTTTGATAGTCTAACTTTATAGGAAATAGTTTTTCGCGATGTGATCAGAAACATATTTGATAGATAAGAGCGTATTTACTATTTACATATGATTTAAACATCGATTTTATGTAATTTTGAAAAGCGATTCCGCAATTATTCAATAATTAGTTAAGACAATTTAAAACGCTATATTTTGAGATAAAAGCGGCATTATAAATGCAAATAGTCACATATTCTTTCTCTGTAACTTTAGTAGTCAAATAACTGGAACTTACTGATGTAGAACTTTTAAATACTGAGAACTGTTGTCAGTCTGTGTATTTAGATGTTTACCCATGGCTGTTTCTGTGAAGAAAACAGAATACAAAATGTTTTGTAAATTAAAAATAAATACAGTAAGAAAAATATTTATTTACTTTTCTGTTTGTTTCTTTTTATTCATTTTTATATTACTTTTAGTTCCAAGAAAAAAAAACTCAGCTTCGGAAAGAAAGCTGTGAAACTAAAAATATGTTTTTCGTAAAATTTCACATGTCGAATACAATCCAATTTTGACACAGGAACAAAGAAACATTTTTTTTTAATTTCTCAAAACGCCATAATCCTGAATCAATTCTGTGTTCAATGTGGTCAACAGCAATTTTTCAGATTTCAAATTTTGAAAATGAATACCACCTGATTTAATTTATCACATGGATAAAAATATATACGGAGCGGGAGGATATTCTTTATGAACATCTTTGCCAATTTCTCCTCATCTGATAAATACTTTTTAACAATTAACAAAAAATGTGGAATAGAAATCTCAAGACAATTTATAACAATAGTTATAAAAATGTAAATTCTTCTGAGGAGACATTTAAACTAATTACTTGAAAGACTTAAATGCTTAGAAAAGCAGAACCTTAAAATCAAATCAAAGATTTACCTATAAAATTTCATGAAACATATTGACATACTAACACTGTCAATCGAACAAAATATCTTAGAGATATCATAAGTAATTATCGAAAAACTTGTGATACTACACCAAAGGCTGACGTGGTTACCAGTTTTAGAAGAAATTCATTCAGATTTCAGACATGAGATAAAATTTGATCGCACTCATAGTAAAAATCCATGATACCGAAATCGTATCAACCTCTCCATTTAGGGAAACCGCGCTCTTTCCATAGATTTAATAATCAAAATGAATGTCTTACCGCAGATGATATCCAAAGCACAAAGCGTGATATACGGAGAGATATTAAACTCCCCTTGTCCAACACGTTCTTCTAATTTTTCACACATGATTAATGCTTGCTCATTAAAGATGACAGTAAAATCATTCAGAATGTTATAATGAAAGGAAGGTGTCAACATCTTTCTCCGTTTTTCCCATGTTTTACCTGTACTAAAAGACAAAACATAAAGTAAATTGCAAACTTAGCTAAAATTATTTCTTTTAAGTCTGCTTAAGTAACATGCATACGATTTTAGGTAGAAAAATTTAAAAACCCTTAAAATGCAAAATATCTTTCATCAGTTTGTGTGTGTTTCTCACATTTCCACAGAGAGAAAAAGATCTATATCAACAGCATCCATGTTGTATAAAGTATAAACATTGTATAAAGTGGATTAAAGATAGTTATATTTTGAAAATTCAAATCGTGTTTGGAGATAGATAGATAGATAGATAGATAGATAGATAGATAGATAGATAGATAGATCTCGAGAATTTAATTTGATTCAGTTATGGGTTGAATAGAAGGACAGATTGGGTTCTTTAGCAACCAGTCGACCGCAGAAAGAAATGGCAACCGACTGCGGGAAAAATCTGCCTCGTCAGTCATGTATCGAAAGATACATGATCGCCCAAATCACGTATGGCACTTAACTAACTGAATAAAATCACATTTTATTTTAAATCATATTCATTTAATTAAATCATAATACATACTTATTTTTTATAGAATTTTATATAAATATGTTATTTGTATTGTTTACCTTGTAATAAGACCAGATTTCAGCCACAGACGCATAAATTCATAAAGTTTATTTCTGTCCAAATGTTTACTACTACCGAGAATTTTCTGCAAAAAAGATCATTCCTTATTTTTAATATTGATTGTTATTGTTGTTGTTATTATTTGGTTAGAATCATAAATGATTAAATTAAAAACACATAAAATCCCATTGCTCTTTATATTTAAAATAATTCAATTCTCAATATGAAAGAAAAGTACAAAGTACTAAGAGAACTTCAGAAAATTCCAAAATGTTCAATTTGATATAAAATATAATGATTTTATTTATCTTCTTCTTCCTGAGGAAACGGCTGACTTCTCAGTGGAGTTTTCAATAATGACCAACAAAACTTACAACATTAATGTGAAATAAACTATCTGAAAAAAACAAACATGCGGCTTTCTTGTATGGAGCTACATTCTCTAAAATACAAAATCGAGACAAAAAAACAACAGTTTTTTTACCTACAGTAGTGTCATCACTGGTAACAGATATAACTACAGATGTATTTCTTGTTTGTTCTGACACTTATGACACTACTGACCTCGTTTAATTATTGTTTTTATTTTTTATCAGATATTATTAAAATTAATCTCTATCTATAAAAGGCAGGATGTGTGTGTGTAACGAATGCACGTCCGCAATTTTCGACGGATTTGCACCAAAATTTACATGCACATGCTCCAAGTTAGCGGGAAGGCCAAGACTGACAATGCATTTACCAACTCCCATCGATAGTGAAAATAATCGATTTTTCATGCTTCTACGACAGTTTTCATGTAGTTTGCGGCCATTTTCTACTGGCCAGAGTGAGAGCTGGCCGCCACGAATAAGGCAGGAAGATTCTGTTGGCCAGCGTGAGAGCCAACCGCTGACTGACACGAATGTTAACTAGCATGCTAGCATGCAAAAAAAATCGATAGCTGCATTCGTCACAAGTGGGAAAAATTTAAATCTGCATGGCACTTTACTCCAAATGGCCCATTCGCTTGCTTAAACTCAACGTTGATTCTGATTCCGCAGAACTGGGTTGGGTGTGAAAAAGTATTTGTTGTTAACATTCTTTTGTGGATTCCGGGTTGAAATCCGGTACCAATAAATAATAACGCCAGGAATGAATATATGAAAATAATGTATTAACGTAATAATGCAAACTGGTAAAGTAGGTTAGTAGTTCCAGGAATACGTGTTAGTAACAAAGTATATATACAGTCTTTGGTATTGAAGTATCACTGTATGACTTCTTACTGAGTCTACGTGCTCGCTCACTGTGACTCCTACGACGCTGTTACCTCACTCTCACTATTCCGGTTACCTACAACCTTTTACTCTGTCACTCTCGACTCGACTTTTCTTTCTTTCTTTCTTTCTTTCTTTCTTTCTTTCTTTCTCTCTCTCTCTCTAGTATATGTATATACTGGGTAAGTTCATTTGTATAAAAAGGGTGGACCCCTCAACACCCCCTCCTTAGATCCCTTTTGGGAGAGGAGTTAGTATTTTTTCTCTTATGGTCGATACTCAGAGGTTCGGTAAATTTTCTCTTCCTGTTTGACCTTCTAGTTTCTGTGTCTTCCTGTGGTCTTTGAATCTCAAAAGCTTCGAAGGTTGCATCCATTGAATCGTCATTTTCAGCGGGTGACGAGCTTGGCTCTTCAACCCGTCTTTTTTGTATTTGTGTCAATATGTCTTCTGTGGGTAAACTTTTCGTTTTGTACTGTGTACATCACATTTCCTAGTCTGTTAATTATTGTGCCAGGTTCCCAGTAAGCCATATTGTTCCTGAACATCCTAAAGTAAACCAGTTCTCCAGGTTTGAATGATCTCTTGGGTACTATAAGTGTATGCTGGTGATTATTCTTGTTAGGCAATAACTTATCAAACACAGACCGTATTTTCCGGGCAAACATAACTTGCGCTGGTGAAAGACCAGATGGTGTATTCCCATTAGGTGTTATTCTGTATACTTGAAGAAACTGTTGAATAGCTTTTTCTGTCGGTACATCCCCTGCTTTTTTTAGAGCTCTCTTTAGTGTGTCTACGAATCTTTCAGCCTGCCCGTTAAGACCGTGGGTGATACGGAACTATCTTAATGTGATTTACTTGGTACGTCTGACAGAATTCTTTAAAATCGCTGGAGGTAAATTGTGTATTCTTCCGTTCCTAATTTTCTGGGTAATAGTCGTAGCTTTTTTGCTTCTGTCCAGTTTTGACAATCGATGTTGAAGATGTCTTCATGACGTCTGAAAAAGTCTCCGAAATTTTTATCCTCTTTTAGGGAATATTTGAATGTTTCTATTGTGTTCCATATTGCGTCTTGAGAAAAAGTCGCTTCTTTTTCAATATTTTTTTGTTGTGTATTACTCGCTACTTTTACAATTAGCTCCTGGAGTTGTAATTGTATTTCTTCATTTTGCATTTGTCTTTCATGATTTTCCTTCTGCGTTTGTATTAATATTTTTTCCATTCTTTCTTGAAGTTGTAATTGTTGTTCATTTTGGTATTTTATAAGTTCTACTAAAATACTTTTAAAACATTCTTTTTTCATTTGGTTTTTCCAGTTACGAGTCCTTTTTTAAAGCTGATCGTTTTGTGTTCATTTTGTTTAGTTCTTTTTTCGTAACAGATTTAATGTTTAATATAGAGCTTAGAAAAAATTCGCAGTGTGAGATAGGCAAGAAGTAAGGCATGTAGCAACATCAGCACGGCAAAGGGCACTCCTTTAAAGGCAAGGAAGGGCAAAAATATTTTATGTCAAGTGATACGATTGTTGTATGTCGTACGAGTTTTGAATCAAGCACGGGCAACGCCGGACCATGCTGCTAGTCATGAATATAAAGGAGTTGACAATACAACTTCCCGAATTTAAATGAAATGTACTCTTATGGGAAAGTTAACGACTTAAAATATTATAGATAAAGACATAAAAGAATGCAACGAACCTGATAGAAATAAAATTCAAAGGAGGTCATATTATTTGTCTTTGTCCTTCTACCATATCCACATTTACTCTGAGTAATAATGTCGACGCCTGCTTTGACTTACGTCATATGCATTTGATAAAATACATCACCGTGAATGAAGTTCTGTTGAATAATAATAACTTATTAACTCCTGTGAAAATGTTGCTCGTTATTTAAAACTTACATTGCTTTATAGTTACGCGTCTGATCATCAAAAATAAAATTTGTGATTTTACCCTTCTCCCGCAAAATATGATGTAGTTGTTGTTAAATTTTAATTTCTTTAGTTATTCCACTGCTTTGTTTTCTAATGACTCAATTAGATTTAAAAATCACTCAATACAGATACACAACTGAAATACCTTAAATAAGATGGAGAAATTCTTCTGGATCAATTAAATACAATGAACAAATAATTTTATATCAATAGAATTCACTGTTTTTTTATACTTAAGAAATTTCGCGATTGTGCGTATATATATTTTAAGTAAAGAACATACCTGCATATAATCAGCTTTGAAAATGATTAACCAAGGTTCCATTCCCATCTGCAATACGAACATTCCATGATTTCGGTATCTATCTGCTAGTTTCAACATTTCTGCATACATTTCTAAGAGAAAAGACAAATATAATAATATTTTAGTTCACTAAATTTATCAAAGGCATAGAAAATATCTGTAAACAAATTGTGAATATTTAAGAAATTAATATGAATTAATTCAATACGAAATAAATAAATGTGAGTTAATTAAATATGAATTAATTAAATATGAATTAATTAAATATGAATTAATTAAATAATATTTAATTAAATATGAATTAACTGAATATGGATTCATTAAATATGAATTATTTGATTATGAAATAATTCGAATTATTTAAATATGAATTCATTAATCACAGAAAAAAAGAATTAGTTGAATCAGTGATAGATGTTATAATAATAATCTGTAACAATATCTCGCTATCAGGAGAGTAGCCAAACAGATATGGACCCAGTCATTGATCACACTTCCCAAAAAAGGCAATCTCCAATAATGTCAAAACTACAAAACAATCGATATTTACGCAAGTAAAGTGACGTTGAAAATCAATCTTAATGATGCGCCAAGTAGAAGAAATCCTCGCTGGTTGATTTTCGATGTGGAAAAAGCACCAGAGAACAGATATTCAATCTACGACTTCTATGAAAAAAATACTCAGAATATCAACAAAAGTTCTATCATGTCTTCATAGATTTAAAAAAACTCTTTGATAAGGTGTCATTGTGAGCAATAAATATAATATAGGTTGATTCAAATTCTCCAGCAGTTGTATGAG